GTACCGAAATCAGATCCGGTTTTCGATACTTTTTATTTATTTTTTATTTTTTTTTTATTTATTTTTTTTATAAAAGTGAGGCATAATATCCTTAAACTTGTGCCCAAACCGTCGGAATTACGATGTCAATTTCGCAGTGAAACTCCGCAACCAAGTCACTTTTGAAAATCTAAAGTGTGGCTGCATATGACTGCCAGTCTGAATGGTGGGGTCTGTAACCACTGCAAGAAGTTTATTTCTGGGAAAGGTGGCAACACATCCAATCTCCAACCAATGATGTCTCGTATGGCAACCAAGTACCTTTGTGTTCAGGGAAGCAGCGTGCCAAGCGAGAGAGTGTTCAGTTTAGCAGGTGATATCCTTCGCTGTGAAAGGGCCCGTTTGGATCCAGAGAGCAGATATGCTCATCTTCTTGAAGATGAATGCACAAAACTGAACTGTGATGGGATTTGTTTTCTTTCATCAGGCAAATGTTGATTTCAAGGATGCTATTTGTTTTATGTGCAATGCCGAGATCTCATGATCCTTTATGTGTTCTCTGGTCAGTCGAATCTCAGGTTGAATATTAATTACACTGGTGCTATTTTATTTTTCCATTGACAAGATGTACTATTCCCGCCTGATGGTTGTTATAAATGATATTGCAGAATCAGTTTTCTTCATAGATAATGTGTTTTTCATTGTTTGTTCAGTACTAAAAGGTCCAAGTCCCACAATTGAATTTAATATTCATTTGACATGTTAACTATATAATAAAGCGCTTCATGGGAGTAATTGCGGGATGATAAAATGTTTCCCTTATGCAACATGAAAGTATCACGATATGTATCGGTTGAGTATCGGTATCGTTCAGTGGTATCGGTATCGGTATCGTAAAAAAGTCAACGATATGCATCCCTACATGCACATCGGGTAGTCACATCCACCTGTGGCTTTTAGCTTCCTTTTGTAACTCTTTCCCACTTTGTGTTTCACTAATGCATCATCCCATGCAGCCTGCATATCCCCCCCCCCCCCCCCCCCTTTTGGTATCCCCATTTTCGAGACTGTGGTTTCTTTATTCACCAAGGAAATATCCTGATCCGAGCTCTGATGTGGACCACAGAGTTGAAGCTAACCGCTGACAGAATGAGTCACTTCTTAAGCATGGGTCCAATGTGACTAGACGAGGCCTGTTTCATTATGAATCAGTAAGAGACTCGCTGCTTTGTGTGAACATGTCAACCAGACTGGGCTGGAGAGTTCACACCTGCGACAGGAATTAAAGACATTCCTGTAACACCTCTCAGGGTTCTATCCTACCATGTTGGAACAACAGTTTACAGTCACTATGTCTGCTATATTAAGATTACAATGGACACTTCTGCATCTAAAATTGGACTAACACTCAGCTTTTTGTTATTCATTTCAGAAATGTTGTAAAAAAAGTTGTTCCCCTTTGAGCAATTCAACTTTTGTTCCACGCACACCCTTGAAAACATCATGTCAAAACAAACTAGGCTTCTACTCGTATATTGTTTTGTTTAAGTCTCAAACTGCATGGTTTCTTCTCCAAATTAGTAATTCTTAAATCAAATTCTAATACAAATTTAGACGGTTTGCAGAACAGTCAACTATTCAGAAAAGTTCCCAGATGCAGTCAGACTGTGCTCCAAGTTATCTGTATGCAACTTTGATATTCTGATATCTAATTACGAAGTTATCTTAAAATTACAAAGTAGTGCTCATTTGTTATGTATTACAGTGTGCATGGTCTTTTGATAAAAAGAAAAGGAAACCCAATTTATTTCTGACTTTTTTTAATGATATTAAAATCAAGACATCAGAGGCATATCACTATCTTTTAAGTTATTGCACATATAAATAAGTGTATATAAAACTTTGGATACATAGATCTTATGATATTTTCCATGTCAAATCTTGTATAAGAGCACATATTTTGTTCTCTGTTGCATAACTCAAACTGAACCGAGGCCAGGAAACACAGCGCTTCATTTCTCCATGTGGACTCATTTTATTTGGCAGATCCAAACACAGCTGACCCAGACTGAAGTTGCAGGCACCCTGAACCTGGGTGTATGCCTCTGGGACTTATTTAAAACCTTTCCTAGAAAGAGTCTGGGTAATCCCCAGGAGAAGTTAGTATAGGTATCTTATTCTGTATCTGAACTGAGGTGGATAATATCTGGCCAAGTGGGGGAAACTGAGGCCACGTTTACACGGTTCGTTCACACGAGGCCGTAACGGTACCGCAGAAACGGAGCCCTCAAACGGTAACGGGTCCCAAGGTGGGTAGATCTGCGGACGAAACGCTCTGGGGGGCCTAACGTCTCCGTGTGTACGTCCTATACGATCATTTCCTGATAACGACGACGCCATAGCCCCACCTCTCCTCACCTCTCCTGCTCACCCCCGCGTCACCCGCGTATCATTGCTGATGTGTTTTCACCAACAACCTCTGCTCCTCACTGCTGTAGCATGGTCAGTAGCTACTGACCATGCTACAGATGTTAGTGCAAAATCTACAGCTCCTCTACCACAACCATCAGCAACAAGTGGACATGGAGAACTACATGAACTACATGTTGCTAAATCCACCGCGGAGAATAAACAGAAGGGCAACCAGGCAACCATGGCAACCATGCTCGGGGGCCTTCTTCGCTGCTTTTGGTGTATTTTGTGGAAGAAATACAGCGCCACTTACAGGCCCGGCATATGTACTTCAGCGTCTCCAGCGGGTCGAGCGGTCTTGTGTGGACGGACACGTTTCTTGAGCCAATACCGTGTGGACGGAAGACTTTTTTGATATCGACTAAGGTTCGTTATCGTATCCGTGTAAACGTGGCCTGAAGCTAAAGACCTCTGTGTTCAAATAGGGGAGAGGTTTTGGAGAACAAACTCACTCCTAAAGCCTCCTTGGATCATAAATACGAGAACAAATTATTATTCTGCTCCAGGGCTGTAACTAACTTTACTTTCATTAGCTTTTAAGCTGCCAAATAGTTTCTAGATTTATCAATGGATCGTTTGGCTTATAAAACTTCACTCCAAGGTGATACAATATAAATGTCTTGCTCTGTCAGTCAAAAGATATTCACTTGAAAAAGATACAAAAGAGAGAGAACAGGATACCTCAATATTTGAGTTGCTGAAAACTGAATTTTTGCCATTATTGCAAGATAAAAATCTAGAAATAGGTGAGGATTATTTTTCTGTCGATCAACTAATCGATGAGTTTACTCACTACTACTACTTCTTCACTTCTGTTGAACCAATAGCATTCTTGCTCACTAATATTTCTGCTATTTATCTTAACGTTTTTTTTTTTTTTTTTTAGCATATTATCAATGCCATTTATATTGACAGAATAGATACAGTACATGCAGAAAACATGCAGAGAGAGTATGACATGCATAAAAAGCCCACCTGGAATTTCACTGTGACCACATGGCATGCATCCTAACCACTAGTCCTCTGGGACCCCGTAAAGCAGATTTCGCACCCTTTTTACCAAATAAAATCCTGTATAAGAATACTAAATTGTGAGGCTTTTCATTTAGTCAACCATCGTTCTGTCTCACGGTTATCAAATGTCAAACAGCTGGATGTCTGGGCATCTGTTCGCTTCCCAGAAATTGAAGTTCATATCCAGTTTTGTTTACGTCAACCTAGAAATGCTATTCTCTTTACACAAGCTCCCTGTCGCTGCTGGGGAGTCCTGTGGGCCTAATTATGTTTGCACACAGCTGTTCAAAACCTACAGCTCCTTTTCTCATATTAAAACACCTTGCTTTCGCAGGGCATTTTCACCTTTATTGGATTGTTGATAGAGAAGAGGCAGAGTAGAAACTAGGGGAAGAGATGGGAGGGGGGCACAACAAAGGTCCTGGCTTGAATCAAACCAACAACTCTGTGTTTATGGGCTTTTACCATCCAATAGAGTCCATATTAAAACCCCTTTACCTGTGTTTTGACCTCTTTTTAGTAGGTTATAGTCCAAGGTAAACTATTAATCTGTTCGCTTTTGGACTTTTGCTGCAGTCTTTATACAGGTTGGCAGAGATTCAAGTGAACATCTGGATTGTGTTAGAAAGATCAGACAGGGTTGGTAATAGTAACACTATGAACTCATTCTTGTTCAAAACAGATCGTATCCAGAGCGGACAGGTGTTTCCAGCTTTGATTTGAACTACTTGAATTGAATTCAAATTTTACTTATAGAAATATAATTGTAACATTTTGTGTTTTTCAATTGGTACATTTGGGTAAATTAGACGAATGGATGAATCACATCTCTGGTTATAATAATGTTTTCTTAACTCCTCTGCTTTCAAAGCTACCCCGACAGTGGTGTTATCCAGGAGGCCATGACTCTTTGGTAACCCTTACAATGTTGGTGCCATCATTTGAAGTAATACAATTTGTTTGTATTCAATTAAACGCCCTAACGTCAACACTGAGCTGTCTGTGATTGGAGCACTATCTTCATGTTTCAAATCTATATTAGCATATAGTCTACAACTTTTGTTTGTATTGAAATCAGGACCAAAACAACTTGATCAGGATATGCCAATTTCTTGCAAATTATTTGGAAGAATTCAAATTTAGGTTGGATTTTTCCATTAGCAAAGCATCTCCATGCTGATGCTGTTAAAGCCTTCACTGGTTTTCAGCAGCTTCCCTCTGTTCACTTCCCATCAGACAAGATGGAAGAACTGACGCACCCGCCATGGTGACTCACTGTAACACTGATACAGGTGTTGTAAGGGTTGCCAGGTAATCAAATGGTCCTGTTTTAGTAATTTAGCAAACATAGTGAAGGACTCACCTCTTCTCTCTGAGATATAAAGAAGAAACCATGAATTGCCCGCATCCTTATCTCACTATTGTGGCCTCTGCTTTCCCCTCTCGCATTCCAGCAACCACACGACCTGTTAACTCCTCAATGACCTCCGAGGTTTCTGTACTGACGGCTCTTTTTCCCCCCTCTTTGTCCGCAGAGAGAATCATCCCTTAGAGTCGGACCTGGAGTGGAGAAGACCAATTGTGGCCTGAACAAAGACAGACGGAGAGAACTGTAAGTAAACACTGCAACTGTGTGAACCTCTCAGGGGTCAGGAAGTTTCTGTGTGTGTAACTCCTGCTGCATGAAGTGCTTATCGCATTGGTTTACACACAGGAATGGTGCGATGTGTGGTTGTTCTGAAAGGCTCAGAAAACACATTTGTTTTTTGTAGATGACAAAGAATCCATTTAAATTGTTTTTCAGAGTATCATAATGTATCTGAAGCTTTGTTTGGGTGTTTGGGTCAGAATATAAAGCAGGTGGCTATTCATCGCTAAAACAACAATTTGTAAGGCTCCTTGCAATCATATTTGTATTCTTCAGATTGCCGGCTTATGTATCTCTCTTTGTCCGTGACCAGCATTTTGTTCACACACACTCTGTTTTCAGAAATTAAATCATGGAAGACAAACAGTGAACAAAGCAAAAAAGGATATTAAACTTCCACAGGTCGCTTTTTGCCAATTTATGGACAACATTGAAGTTTGACATTAGCAATCTGTTACGAAGAAAGTTATATCATGTCGGTGTTTTTTGTTAGGTCTCGTCAACAGCTGATAGGATGTAAGCTTGAACCCAGCTGTTTCCTAGCAACACACTTCCCATGTAAGGGTCTGTTATCAAAAACCTCTTATTCCCACTCCACCGCAGCTTCCTCCATAGATAAGTGCTCAACCTAAAGGATGCACTGGTTTAATGATACCAAAGAAAGTGCTTTACAGAAAGGGATAAAATCATAACAGACGATTTGATAAGAAAACCAGAGAACAGTCAGCACCAGAAATGAAGTAAAGGTAAGAGTATGACGGCACTAGATTAACAATGGGGGCACATAATGAGAGTTTTACATTAGTATAAGTATCTTACAAATGCTCTTACAGTCTTTTTCATCTCTTTTGGTGAATAAAAGGGAGAGAAACTCAGGGATTTTAGCCTTTGCAGACCATTTACATGCACAAAAACCTACATAACACACAGGGGAAGGGAAACCCCCCAAAAAGCATAATAGGGCCCCTTTGAGTTTTTTTCCTCACCTGTTACCGAGTCAGTGGAACAAGACGGTAGAAATACAGAATGCCTCATGCATCCATATTTCCTGACTATAATAACTTATGAATTGCCTTTTTAATTACATTATTTCTTATTATAAGGAAAACATGGTGGAAAACGGCCTGAAATCTCTTACTCTTTTATTTGGCAGTTGGCAAAGGGCTAATTGCATTCCCTGCTGATATGCTTTACATCAGAGTACAAAGCCTATAATCGCTCCTCTTGTGAGGATGTGTAAGCCATTAGTTATCTGATGAAACAGGAAAAAAAGGTGCCTCGGAGATCAAGGAGGACAAGTGAATGATGGCTGTAGAGGATGTGTGCGAGGCCCCGCCCTGTGTTTCATTGTCAGCGCTCAGACAGGAAGCAGACCTTTCACACTCGCGCACGAGACACAGTTAGAAGTTGTTAGAGTTGTTGTGAACAGGAGGCAACCTAAGTGTGTGTTCGTACTTTTTGGAAGTGTGTGTGGAAGCTGAAAAGGCATGCAAATAAAACATAATAAACTGCCTTTTGTTCTTTAATGTTATGTTAATTCATTGAAAGTGTCAGAGCCTTTTGTATCAGCAAACCTTTCTACTATCAAATGTGTCTCTTTTCTATAGAACATCTAACATGTGTTTTTTAAGCACAATTACAGTGGGGGGAAAAAGCATACAGTTAATGTGTTGCTGGTGTATTCAGTGTTCATTGCTGTAAGGGGGGGGTTCTTCCTTTTTAAAGCCATGAGTGTGGTGCAAGTCGTGAATTATTCATCCCCGGCACGCGTGAGTGAATTAAAGGTAAACTGATAGCTCAGAGCAGCGCCTTGCTTGGTCTCTGCTGCATTTTTAAAGTGCGGACTGGCACTCAAATGTCAAAATGTTAACGTCGTCTTTCCCATAAAACTGTTACCCTGGTCTCTGGGACCGGATGAAGGACATCTGATATGGGGTTCTGAATAATGCAGGATGATGGTTTGGGAAAGAATTGTCATCTAAGACCAAGTTCAGTTTCCCTTTGTTATCCCAGTGCCATCTCATTGTGCTCAGGAAAAATGATTAAGTTGTTCAGTAATTATATGGAAGATTTTTGGAAGAAATGACACATAGTTCTTGAGAAAAAGGATCTAGAAACCAAAATACTTTGATATGTGATCATTGACATGTGCGTGCTTCTGCTTGTTACATTTCCTGGAATAGCTATTTCGTCTTAGTGAACATGAAAGAATAGAAGAATAGGGAATTTCAGCGGAGAGGCAGCTGGCTGCAGTTTCCCAGAAGGAAGAATTGCACTGCTGTCATTTCATGAAAAGGTCCTTTCTAAAATTTGAATTTGAAACTGCTTCCTAAGCAGTCTGTTTGAATGGCTGAGATTTAGCCCTCCTCTGTGTCACTCCCTAATCAGACCCACACCTCTCACCCACTCCTTCTCTGTAAATAATTCAGAACAGCCTTTTGCCCGCAGAGAACAGCGTACTCACAATTGATAATGGAGGATAGCAGTTAAAAAAACGCTGCCGATGCACATTTCAGAAGTGTGGAAAGTTCTGCTTTTAACTACAGTAATTCAATTCAGACACATTTTTCCAGTGACTAACTTTCAAGTCTATCAATGCACATCTGTCTGTAAGTAGATGACAAGTAAATGAGGTGCCATGTATATCTTCTTAAAATACATCAATTTATATACACTAAAGAAGAACAAGTATTCCCAATGTGAGACTGGGTCAGTGTTTTATCATGAGGCAGGACCTCGTGGAAGTAGTTACCGGCCATGTATTGTTATCTGGCTCATACTGCAAGTTAAAGTGAATATCATTTTAAGGAAGTCCACTTTATGATGTGATGACGGATACAGAAGATGAGTATTAAGTGATTAACATCATCCAGTAACACTTTTATTCCGGGATGTTTTCTAGTGGTTGATCAGGCAGTGGGTCTATAATCAAATCAAATTTGAGTTTTTATTTGTATTCTTTTAGTCACGGCTTTGAGTCCGATCTGTGTTGTGTTGTAAAATGGTGTTGTATGAGAAGCTGGCTGTTGACGTTGAGATCTATGTCATCTTTGAGGGGCGAGGCTAACACTTTCTCATTCATGCTTTCAGGATCTGTAGGAAACAGGAAATCCTACTTTGTTCTAGTGTTTGGGAGACAGGAAGTTGTGGCTTTTGTGACTGGACCTCGTTTTGCTTTGGCATGTTGCCCAGAGATTCATTCTGATCAAGGACAGATTCATTTGTCTGTGTATTTTTCTGACGCTATTCAATGTATAGGTTATAATTCAATTGTGTTAAGATGCGTCACCGCTTCCTAGATTCAACCAACAATAAAAAAAGATGCTAGGGAAACATTTATAGTTTATAGTCTCCGAGAAATAATCCACAATCTGCCATTTCTCCAGCAGAGTGCACCAGAGGAAATGGTCTGTCTGCAAACTCCGTAATATACTGAGTTCATATTGAGTTTTTCTTGTTTTGTCTTAATGACACACAGTTTGTGTCAGTGTTTTTGATATTGAACACTTTTAACAGAAACACAGACAGTTGGCCTTTAGATGAAAGGATGCAAACTTTGAGATGAGCCGTGAGGGTTTGAGAAACTATCTAATTTCCCTTTTCCTTTCAGTGTGTCACAATTTGGGAGCTTAATGATAATTGAGGATTTACAAGCCCACTTAAATGTATCAACCACTAATTGGTTTGAAGAGATTAATGGCGCCATTTGCCACTTGATTAGCCACTGGAATAATTTGTCTACAAATCTGCTTTCAAAGTGTGTTTCTCATCACTACAGATCAGGTTGGGTGAATAATTTACCTTTTGTGAAGTTCGTGGTTGTTTTGTTTCTAGTGTTTCAGACTCTAAGCTTACACAGTGGTTACAGCGGTCGACCGTAATGTCTCATTAGTGGCTTCATTAGTCTTAATGAAGAGCGTGCTGTATATTTACTCGACAGACGGCAGCACCATTGGCTTTATACAGTGAAGAATCATGATTTTAAAATGTTAAGTCAAGCATATAGAGGTACTTTACATAGTTGCACGTTACAATAAGAAAGTATCCGGTATGTTACCCTAATGTGCAAGTTTTGTTTAGTATTTAGAGATTGGCAACGTCAACTACATAGGTTATTTAAAAAGATTTAAGATATTGTTATGATTACAATTCACTGGTTTCTTCCTTTGGTTTTGGTTTGGTTACCAGTAAGGATAAGTATATTTTCTTGGCCTAAGACAATTACATGCAGGATATTTAGACGCAAAAGTTTTGTTTTCAGTTGATCACTAGCTCTTACACAATGTCATGTGAAAGCTACTTTTCTGTTCCATTTAAAAACACAACAGCAGAAAATAGTTGAGACTAGATTTAGAGGAGGATATTAAAAAAGTGTAAGGTTACTGCTTTGGTCTTTGCTCTCTCAGCGTCTGATTGAAAACGTAGTGCCTTTAGCCCTGCTTAGCTCCACAGTGAAACATAAATACATATACATAAATATTTTAATACCATTTTCTTTTCTCACTTCAGACTCCATCATATCGAATTTCCCTTCAATTATTGACTGTCTGTAGTGTTCATATAGACCTTTGACGCACGAGACACAGTTTTAATGGTTAACAGTCACTTGATACACTTTCTTTTCAACAGTTGGGGAAAAAACGCTAAATGCAAATAAAATATTCTTTGTTGTCATTGGTTTCTTAAACACACATTTCAAATTGAAAAAGACCAAACATGTAGATGGCTGTGATCAGACATTAATGGCGCGTTTCCACTACAGCACGGTTTAAGAGGGCTGTGACGTCAGCGGCCCGTCTTTGGTTGCGTTTCCACTTGGCCTAGTACCGGCCGGCGGGTCCTAATTCACAGTTTTTCTGGCCTCATAAAATCGTGGGTCCAGGGCCAGAGACAACGAGGCTGAGTCGGGCTGAGTATGCTAAACTAGAGAGAGGATCGCTGGCAAGGGGGCTACAACTACAACA